TAGTTATCTTTTTAAGCTGATGGCCTTGAAGCCAATGCTTAATAAATAAAAAAAAATAAAATAAAATAATACCACTCAAACATGACGTCTGAAGCATTTATTACTTATCCTTGTATTTAATCATCGAGTATATAACATTTAATATATTATATCGTATATACCTAATATTTTCGAATTCAAGATTTCCGGATGAAAGAAACTTTATTTTATTTAGGAAGGCCATCAAAAATGGCACTTTTTCATCTTGTTTAAACGTTCAACAGGTTTTTTTCTAGAAAGTGTTAAAATAATCTAGTGTGAATATTTTCCTTTTAAAATATGACATTCCTGCTAGTGGCTCAAATTTATGAACATCTGTTATACTGTGTTTTTGAAAAGAAATAAAATATTATTAGAGCTCGATCATAACGATTCTCATGCAAAAATCCCTTCGTAAATAAAATTTATAACATATTTGCTCGTAAAGTGGCTGAAATCACACCAATTTCAATATCGTAATGTATTTCATTACGCACTTGTGCGTTATTGTAATGTAAAACGCACAAGTGCGTTATTGTAATGTAAAACGCACGAGTTTTTTTTTAATACAGTAACATGCACGGTTTTTTAAGATGCTCCGTCTAAAAATGAACGATACTTTTTAAATCTTTGCAAAGAGTTTTTATGTTAGAAAAGTGGTCAATATTTTATAAATAAAATTAACTTTGGGAGATAAAATGTAGTAAATAAACATTTAATTCTTTCATTTAATTAATTTTGACAATAAATTACAACCATTTATCTGTAACAAAAACACAAAAATATTAATTTACTTTATTAGTAATACTGGCTATTTTTATACCTTTGCCTAAAAAAAACGTTGATGCGCGCGCATGGCTAATTTGTGGAAAAGTAAAAATTATTTCGCGCGCTTTTTCTTTTCGCTGTATTGTTTTTATTTGAAAATGTCGTCAAGTATTGATGAATTTATTAATTTGACACCGCCACAAGGCTTTACGCAGCGAAAAAGGCATTGACTTACAAATAAATGGACGACGGGTCTAATACAAAAACCACGAAAAAAATGTCCCAAGTCAACCTATTCGAAATTTAAATTGTACTGTCATCGCAGTATCGCGCTGTCAGTAAAACAAATGAAGACTAAAGCGGAGTTTGGCGCTCTGTATACGATTTTAGCGCCTTACAAGTGCGGACACTTTTTAGCGCGGACCCGACGTCCATATAATTGTAAGTCAATGGAAAAAGGCTACTCTAAGCCTCTTACCTGAAAAATCGACCGATAGATACTTACAAGCGTATCAAAATTTCATCATATGGAAAACAAGCATAGACGCAAATTCATTTTCACAAAATGTGTTTTTAGCCTATTTCATGGAACTTTCTCAAAAATATAAGTCAAGCTCATTGTGGTGCTACTATTCAATGATAAAAAGCACTATGAAAACAAACCATGGTATTGATATCAAGTCATACTCCAACTTGATAGCATTTCTAAAAAGACGCTCAGATGGCCATGTAAGTAAAAAGTCGAAAGTATTTTCGGCTGACAATATCAAGAAGTTCCTAAAAGAAACTCCGGATTGGCGATATTTGGCAACAAAGGTCAGTTGAAACTAAATTATTGTTATTAATTTCTTTCACTTTTTCACATTTCTTTACAATATAGGTGTTTATACGTTCTTTTTATGTCTTTTCAGGTTGTATTAATATTCGGTATAAATGGTGCATGTAGACGTCAAGAGTTGGCAAACATAACAACTAATGATGTCGAGAACCATGGGCGGGTTCTTCTTGTCCAGGTCAAAAACACAAAAAATAAAATTCCAAGGTCGTTCACAATACAGGGGCCTTTTTACGACGTAGTGAAGAAATACGAAGCGCTTCGTTCAACAAAAGCTAATTCCAACAGATTTTTTCAAAATTACCAAAATGGAAGATGCACTAACCAACCCATTGGCATTAATAAATTGGGAGCAATGCCGAAAGAAATTGCCACTTTCTTAAATTTGCCTCAAGCACATGAATACACAGGGCACAGTTTCAGAAGGTCCTCGGCTACATTGCTCGCCGATTCAGGTGCGGACTTATTGACACTAAAACGCCACGGAGGATGGCGGTCAAGCAATGTAGCCGAAGGATACATAGAAGACTCGATAAGAAATAAAGAAGAAATTAGCTCTCGCATTACAAGGAACATAAATTTGGAGTCAAGTGTTGACTTTCAACCATTTACGAGCACACACGCGTACATTCACCATCGTCGCCGCAGTCGCAACCGCCTCCGCCGCCGCCACCGACTGCAGAACTCTGTGGTCTCGTTTCTCCTACTTTCACTCATGAGAGTGAGAGAGAGACTGGGGAGATTGTAACTAATAATAATAACTTGACAACATTAAAAATGCCAAGTGGCAACGTAACAATCACTTTTAAAAATTGTTCAAATTTCTATAACTGCTTTAACAAGTAATTAAGGCAAAGATCGAACACTCAGAAAAAACACTCAGAAAAAATTCCTTCGATCCGGTCGGATTCGAACCGACGTCTTCTTGCATACCGTGTCAGACGCTATACCAACTAAGCCACGGAACGAACCAACGGACCTCACGAATTTTTCTATGTGCTTGCGTCGTGTCTTTGTACTTGGTCTTTCAAGAAATGAAAGACCAAGAAATGAATAATATGTAATATGAAAATAGCGTCTGGCACGGTACGCAAGAAGACGTCGGTTCGAATCCGACCGGATCGAAGGAATTTTTTCTGAGTGTTTTTTCTGAGTGTTCGATCTTTGTATTAATAATTATAACAAAGTAGTGGAGTAATTTCACAAAAAATAATTGAATATCAATTCAATAAAAATTTAATTAAGTAATTAAAGATTTATTCGTTTAAGAAAGTCAGAGTCTTATTTATTTCCTCGCAAATATGTTATAAAACGTCGTATAATATACGTGCGCTTTGAAAATTACAGCCTCTGCTTTCTTATAGCCCTCGCCTACGGCTCGGGTTAGCAATATCGCCTCGGCTGTAATTTTCAACTTACTTAATATTTTTACTACTGTACTATTGTACTGTAGGTATATACTACTGTACTGTACTATTTTAATTTTTTTTTTCTTAAGTTCCAATAACAAATATCGTCGTTCCGTCAATGTGACCGTCAATATGCGATATCTAAAGCTAGGGAGGGTTGGAGAGTGACCTTTCTCGTTACTTTTTTATTCTCTGCTTTGGTAAAAGGTATCTACTGCATTCTTTACATGGCACTATTAGAATTACTTTAAAATCCAACTTCGACTTCCTAGGTCAGTAGTTTTGTCCTACGATGCGGATAACCATTTCCGGGAATCCGGAATTCAAAACAGTAATTAATTATTATTTGGTTGTTATAACAACTCTATGTAGCTCTATATGTGGAACATCTTTTTCCGATGTTATGACTGATAGTTAGGGATACTAGAAGAAATCAGCATTATGGGTGTCAAATTAGACTATGGAAACCTATGTGACAGCTTCACAACTTTGATAAATAATTTCAAATAAGTATTGAATTTATTTTCTTAAAATATACTTAGTTAAGTAAATAACATAATATAAAATAAACTTAATTGGGTATTTTTAAATTTATTGGATTCACGATATTTCACTACCATGATATTCAATTATTTTCGGTGACATTACTTCACTTCTTAATTGAGTATGTTTGAATTGCAGTGCCACTCAGAGCTTTAAATCGCAAAGATCTGAGGGGCACTGTCACTGCGCCCGTCACCCTTGAGACATAAGTTGACAAGTCCCATGTGCCTGTAATTTCACCAGCAGCCCTACCCTTCCAAACCGGAACGCAGTAATGCTCACATTAGTGCTTGGCGGCAGAAATAAATAAGTGGCAGTACTACCCTGGACGAACTCTTTCACACGGAGCTCTACTGCTAATAAAAATATGAGCATATACGTTCCCGTTTTCGGCTAAGCGCGCTGGTAAACTACTTTGTATCTCTGGGTGAATTAGTCTCAGTACTAATGCTCATCTAATCACTGCAAATGTTATGGGTAGCCGTGTCGCTTTCCACCAGGCGCACGACTTGTTAGTCTCGTCACATGATATCATAAAAAAGTTTGTTCAGAAAGCATTATAAAAGACGAATATCTCTGAAGGGGGTAAGCCTTATCATGGACAAATATTTTTCTTCTGTATCCATATCATCAAGTATATAACCAGAAATAGAAACGAAATAAGGGTCATCCATCCATGGCAACTCATCAGGCAAATGGACCTTATATAACTT